CGGTGACCTGTTGCCTTGTCTGTTCCTCTTGGACAAGAACAGAGCGATGTGCAGGGGTGTTGTCGTGTAGCAACAGTCAATTCTTCCTACACCAAATGTTTCACTAGTGGATTTGCCTAGTTTTTGGTAGAACTTGATGTTTGCCCATTGTTCAGACTGCCACATTTTTTATTTCCACCACTTGCATTTAACTGCAGTTCACAATAGAGGCCATAGTCCTGCTTACACTGTTTGCACACAACTTCCTCTTGTGACAAGCTGACAGGACATCTTATCATGCCCCAGCCTATCTGCTGCAGTGCACTGCACTGCAATGATGCTTTGCAGCCCGTCCACAAACTTATTGGCTATGGTAGTATATTTACCAGTGTTTTAGGGAAATCTTCTCTGCACCTTCAGAGTAGAAAAATGTTCTAGTCATCTCTTTTCTGCTCTGAAGGTTCCTCCAAAACAGTAAATACCTGCAGACTACACAATATCTTCATAGTCATTGCTGTGAGAACCTCAGATCTCATGTTCTCTGCTCATATGATGACAGGATGTCACTGGCTTCCCACAGCTTGTCATTAACCCTTCCTCTATCTTATTTTCTCACATTGTTCAAAGATAATGAAATTGTAAGTGAAAGTATTTAAAAAATGCAAGAAAATGTGTTTTCATAGCTCAGTTAATGAAGTTGAATGATGCAGCAAAAGGAGAATGTTATTTTTTGACTTGGACTGAAGTTGAATGTTGCACTGTATGGTAATGGATGCTTGTTTGACTTCCTTCGAATATTGCAGCAATGGGGTATGATCCTTCTGGCCAGTTTTGAGCTTTACACACATTTGTTTCATTATGGCGTGTGCTTCGTTACACTCATACTTCTGGTCTTTCTGTTCCATAATGATGTCTGTGAATTTAACATACATTGTTGGTGTTTCTATATTTTGTATCAACTGAGTTTGTTTTTTGTTGTAAGTAACTTTTTCTGCCGGATACTTGCGTAAATAAAATATTATATTCTCTGCTCTGTTTCTTAGTATCATCCTGATGTCTGTTAAGTTTCTTCATTATTATAAATGCAATTTTTCCTAAGATGCAGTGGAACCCATATATGTGGTATAATGTTCTTTAATTTAACATTTTCCCTCGTTTTACTCTTATTTTCAATGATCCTGAGTCAGTAATCCCCATGTTAAATTACTTCCATTTAAACTCTTACTCAGTTTGGTGTAAAGGTCGGTTCCTGATAAGGGCATTGGATTTTTCAATTGACCTAATCCTTACATCCACACTGTGACCCTGGGTTTGACTCAACCCCTAACAGAAATGAGTACCAGGAATCTTCCTGGATGGTAAAGGGCGGCCAGTGAGCAAGGCTGACAACTTCACTGCCATATTTGAGCCGATTGTCTGGAAAATATGGGAGCCTCAATGTCTCATAACCCTATGGGCCTCCATGGCCTGTTACAGGAATAGCTTTGCCTCTCCCCCCCACATACCTCAGTTTAATGTTCATATCCATTTCTCTTTGAGAAATCTTGAATGGGGATTTTGCTGTACATGGCCAGGACTCAACAGATCCCTTGTCTTTGTGTCATGAGTGAAAAATCGGCACCTGTGAGTTGAAAGGTCTTTGTATTAATTCATTAATATTTTCTCCCTCTTTCTTGTTTGATTTCTCTGCAGATATCAAAACATAAATTTAAAGAAAAAATAGTGTTGTGATTATACATTGCAGTGCAGAGCAATGGTAATAATGTGGGTAGGCATGGTGTCTTCGTGCAGAAATGTCTTGCCTGTCTGGTGAACTGAGCCAGCATTTGTATCTGTAATGCTGGGTATCAAGCTGAAATTGTATGTGGTGCTGAAAAGGAAAACATTTCCTGAAGTGAGTGTATGAAGACACAGGAGTCTTGATGAATGGACCACACACTCTGCTTGATAATATAATAAAACATATAAATAAAATATAATAAAACTAACCAGATTGTGATACTTGACATAATGACAATGTTACTACAACTTCTGGATGTATGCATTAATTGCCAATTTCAGGTTACTCTTAAGGAGCTGTACACTGAATGAGTAGCATCTGGATATCACCCACTGACACCTACAAGAAAAATAAATGTAAAGGTAAAAGGTTAAGTTGCCCCTATGCTTAATTAATGAAGTACCGTGCCATGAAGACATATGGAGGGGTAAATGTATGGTGCCTCCATTCTTGAACTCAGCATTAGGTGCAGGTGAGTGGTCAGCTTCATGCCCTGGCTGCTTCACCCCACAGGAAAGAGCCCGTGGTATCCATCAGATAGGAAGCCGGATGGGCCTCCAGTCGGATCTGGATGCTGTGGAGAAGAGAAGAATTCCTGTCCCTGCCAGAAATCGAACCCCAACCATCCAGCCTGTGGCCTATCACTATATCAACTGGGCCATCCCAGGTCATGCCAAAAAAAAAACCTAAAATTAAACTACTGACCCCCTCATGGTGTCTCCACCTTATTGTGTTGAGGGGGTTTGAGTATGCCAAGGACCTTGAGAGCTATACCAGCAGTAGCATAGCTACGGGCAGGGCCTCCCTAGCTGGACAGGTCAAAGGGTAGGCATCAGACGAAGAGAGACACCAAAAGCAAAAACTGATGCTGGAAGCAGGGTAATCAGCAGCGACTTGAAGCACACAGCAGTGTATAGGATATTGGTGGGAAAGTCAGAAGGAAAGAGACCACCGGGAAGACCAAAGCATAGGTGGGTGGACAATATTAAAATGGATCTTAGTGAGATAGGATGGGATGGTATGGATTGGATTGCTCTGGCTCAGGATAGGGACCAGTGGAGGGCTCTTGTGAACATGGTAATGAACCTTCATGTTCCATAAAATGCTGGGAAATTCTTGAGTAGCTGCAGAATTGGTGGCTCCTCCAGAAGGGCTCAGCTCCATAAGTAAGTAAGTATACTATATAGTGTAGGGTGATTAATGAGTAATGAAATGGAAAGAATTTGCAAGGAAGCAGTCATGGCATAATCAGGGCACTACTGTGCATTTGTCTGAAGGAATTGAGGAAAACCACAAAAAACCTCAGTCAAGAAAGCTGGTGTCCCACCAGGATTTGAACTGAGCCCCTCCTGAATGCAAGTCTGGAGTGTTACTTCTAGGCCACCTTGCTTGGTAAAACTGTGGAGTGGCTCTGAGTTCAGATGGCAGCAACAGCAACAATGAACCATAACTGTATGGTGTTTTCTTTTTTTTTTTTTTTTTTATGATGCAGTTTTATGAGTTATCATTTGCACTTGTATGGAGTTTTAGGTTTTAGCTAATCACGTAATACAATTTATTATCAGTTTAGGGTTGATGCCAACCTTTTCAACTTGCCTTTGGATGTTTCTGGGCTTGGCCAGAAATGAGCCATCCTTACTACACTTTTCTTTAGGGATATTGATGATACTGAGGAATAATTAGTCAGGTTTAATTGTTGAAATTGGGCACCACTGCATATCATACTTACAGAATGAATGGAAGGTGAACAAGGATGCAGATATGGGAAACTAGGAGACACTCTTGTGAGAGATTCAGAGGAAGGATATTAGGAATTTGTGCCAAAGAGTGAGTTAATTCACCTTTCTGTGTTTTTTTCACATATATTTTGCTGCCCTTGCACAATTAAAATAGAAATGTCATTGTTAGTTGATCAGTTGTGCATAAACTTAAAATATGCAATTCTCCAATTAAATTTAATTACATATTTGACTTAATCATTATTCAAGGCCACACCATAGCTGAAGCGGTTAGCCGCTGGCTTCCCACCGTGGGGGCCCGGGTTCGATCCCGAGTCTGGTCAAGTGGGATTTGTGGTGGACAAAGTGGCACTGGGGCAGGTTTTCTCCGAGTACTTCGGTTTCCCCTGCCAGTCTTCATTCAACCAATTGCTCCACAGTCACCCTCACCTGTCATCTGGGGCCGGTACAATAGGCCGGAAGTGGCCGCAGTACAAGGGACTTAGTCCCACCCCACTAGCGATAAAGAAAAAATAATCATTATTCAAGAAGTTTAAAACAAATAAATAGAACAAATTAATTAGTGGTAAGTGGGACTTAGAATTTCTATATAATTTGGAATTGTGGAGTGCAGTAGGAATATGTCTGTGCAGTCAAAGGAATTGGTGAGAAGTAATTTTAGCTTGGAGATTGCTTGTTCCTCACATGCTAGAAATTAAATAATTTAGTTTGTTTCCATCATGAGGTGATACACGTCCTTTTGTTACTGATCAGAAAGCTTGAACAAATCACCTGTGTTGTAATTGCTATGGCATAGTTCTCATTTGATTCAGAGAGTAACAGAAGAATGTCTGTTTGCTGTTGATGGCAGATCTGGTTCTTGTGCCTAAGCTAAATCTGATGAGAGCTCATTAGTATCAGAACTTCTTGTCACAACCAAAAGTTTTATGATATTTCCACATCCATATTACTTGTACAAGACAATTGAATACAATTTTATAAATTCACAATAAAATTAAAATAAATTTCCATTGATTTAATTACTTAAGACATTTGAAAAAGGGCCTAGATTAATAAGCATCAGGGTTTTTAGTATTTCATACAAGTGATAAATGTTGCTGTTGCATTTCATTTTATTTTCCCTTATCTTAAAATGGTAAAGTGGGTGTACCCTGTGTTTTGGAAGTGTGGTGTTTGCTTAAATGTGGTACATATACTGATAGTAAAATAAATTTCAGTCTTAAACTATTTTAATTTTATTTTATTTTACATTGCTGTGTGTATCTTAGTACATATATCTAAACAGTAGGATGATTGGTGGATTTCCCTGGGGGTAAAGTGGCAGGGGCATGGAGCTGACCACTCACCTCCATCTAGTGCTGTGGTCAAGAAAGTTGGAGCTCTTTTTCCAGTCTCCCACACGTCTTCACAGCATAATGCTGAACTAATTAAGCACAGGGACAACTTTACCCTTTATCATACCATGAGATTAAGTAATTAAATGGATATTGATTTTATTACAGTGAAACTGGGGAGTATGTTAGCATATACGCCCTTGGATGAGAAGAGTATTCAGCTACTTCTGACACACATACAAGACTTCTTAAGGTAAGATAAGCTAATATTTGGTAAACATGAAAGCAATTAACTTATGTGAATAAACCGTGGACGATAAATGCATAGAAGCACCAGTTCTGATATACTTCTTAATGTGAAGCATTTAGTTAACATCTCCTTTCATTGGCTTCATTAAGTACCAATCCACTGCTAATTCTGGAAATAATTACTGTCATGTTTGCATTCGTTTGCTCCTTCTTCTGATGATGCTGTATCATGTTTTCCTTGATGTAAGATCCTCTTTATTCCTCTGAATATGCTGCCTACAACTTATATGCTTGTAATCCAAAAGTATAGCAGAATTTTTCCTAAAATCTTCATTATAACATAATTAGTGCATATTGTAGTCTGGAAAATGTTGTAATTGCCTCTGTTATATCATGAGGTGTTGTGCTTGAGCTAGCCTCCTTCTTTAAATGATTCCTCAGGGCATGAGAGCTGCACAAAGTCTTCTGAGACTCAGTAAATGGATCTGCAGCCAGATTTACAGTTGTGGGGCCCTATCAGTAACAGCAAATTTAGGTTATGGCATTTATGTTATGCTCTTATTTTTATAATAGTTAAAAATACAAACTAAATTTTCATGATTTTAGAGAACAACCTATGTGAGTAAAATCTGTGGATTCTATTTCTGTTTTGTGGAGACCCCAGGGTGACCACCAGGGTCCTTCCCTCCTAAATCCAGTGCTGAGTGTTAGTTAGCTGAATGTTTAAAGATAATCTTATTGCAGATAAATGAGCTTACAAATTCTTCCATAAGACATGAGAAATTCACACAGTCTGAGTCCCACTAAATAGGTGACTGACACTGGAGTCAAGAAGGTGATCCCCCATTGCTGCAAAATCTGCTGTCCTCAACTACAGATCAATTTAAAAATTGCACATACTGTAGTTACTGAAATATTGGGTTTTTGGACTTTATCCATCGTCCTGGTTATGAGTTTGGTTTCGTGGCATAAATTTCTACAGATCTATCTATCCTGGTTCCACGCTTGTATGTGTTTGCAACAATTTGTTATGAATATTTTTTCTTATTAGCTCTCATGGACTTAGCCTGGTCTCAGGTGTTTATAATCTTCATGTTTTGTGACATCGGTTTGTCCAGTGATTGAGGCTAGCTCTTTCTAACGGACCCAACAGAATAGGTGCTTTCCTTCACCTGAGGACGGAAACAGATCCAGTTTCCGAAACGTTGTGTTTTTATTTGTTATCTTAAAAACCAGGATGACGGATTAAAGTCCAAAAACCCAATATATCAGTGTGTTATACACCATCATCAGAATCCTATAGTAACTACTTGTAGTTACTGAAGTTGAACTCACTCATCACTCACTCATCACTCACCCATGGAGCTGAGCCCTTCTTGAGAAGCCTCCAGTTGTGTAGCTACTCAGGAACTTCCCAGCATTTCATGGAACCCGAAGGGTCCTTACCGTGTTCACAAGAGCCCTCCACTGGTCCCTATCCTGAACCAGATCAATCTAGTCCATACCATCACATCATAGCTCTCTAAGATCCATTTTAATATTGTCCACCCACCTATATGTTGGTCTTCCCAGTGGGATTTTCCCCTCTATCTTCCCACCAATATCCTATATGCATTTCTGTTCTCCCCCATTCGTGCTACATGCCCTGCCCACCTCATTCTCCTTGACTTGATCATTCTAATTATACTTGGTGAAGAGTACAAGTTCTGAAGCTCCTCATTATGCAGTTTTCTCAAGCTTCCTGTCATTTCATCTCTCTTCAGTTCAAATATTCACCTCAACACCCTGTTCTCAAACACCCTCAGTGTATGTTCTTCCCTTAATGTCTGAGACCAAGTTTCACATCCATGCAGAAACACAGGCAAAATTATCGGTTTGTACATACATATATTCTAGTTTTTACATTTTTAGGCAGCAGACAAGAAAACAAAAGGTTCTGAATTGAATGGTAGCAAGCAATACCCAAATTCAGTCTGCTCTTAATTTTCTCATGAATCAAATTTTGATTTGTTCCTGTTGTTCCCAAGTATTTGAACTGTGCGACATTTGAAAACGATTGGTTAGCTGTCTTTATGTCATGATTTTTCCCTGCATTCTGGTGGAGAGACAGCAACATGTACTTAGTTTTCTCTGTTTTTACTTTTATACCAACCTCCTTACTAGCATCAATTAAAGTTTGTGTTTTTTCTTTACGTATTTATATTACTATATTACTATACTATATCACCCAGTAGATTCACATCATCAGTGTAAACCAACAGCTGATGTGTCCCATTTAATTTCTGTCCCACCTGGTTTCCCTGGACTTTCCTAATGGCATATTTTAAAGCAAAGTTGAAAAGGAGTGGCAATAATGCATCTCCTTGTTTTAGACCATTCTGGATAGAAAAATTATCAGACAAATGTTCACCTATGTAGAATTTACTATACATTTTGTTTAAACAGATTTTAATCAACCTAACTAGTTTTGTGGTTACCCCAAACTCTATCAGGATATTGTACAATACCTCCCTCCTATTATATATATAGAGTGGCCGTCTTGTAGTGCACACAATTTCACCTGTCACTTCACAACATGTTTCGGCAACACAGTGCCATCATCAGGTGTCCCAACTACGTCAATCTATTGCATTGCCTGCCTTCATATGTTTTCACCAACCATTTAAAAAGTATTTAAAAAGTCCGTGTTTGTCAACTATGATAAATTTACACTCGCTAAAACTTGTTAAGATAATTCATCTTATTTGTCTTAATTAAAACTTGTATGTGGTTCGTTCACTACGGGGTTGTTTTTCTTATTTTCTGTGTAAACCGCGTCTTGTGATGTGTATTCCCTTCTTAGCAGTTAAGAAGGGAACACACATCACAACACAATAAAACTCATATACCTAGAGTTATTAATTTTACATTTTACCCGTCCCGTTAAAAGTTCTGAATTATCTAATATGGCCCACGTTTCGAAAAGTTTGAAGACCGCTGCTCTATACAGTACTCAAATGTCCTTTTTTTTATGTTCATTGCAAGCTTATTAATTTTGTCTATCAGATATTCCCTCTTCTTATTCCTGAAATGGCTGCTGTCTTCACGTCTTATATTGTTCATATCATCCCTGTTTATTTTTCTTGGATTCTGTAATCACTGCAGTTTGGCTTGTTTCATTTGGTCTAATAATTTTGAGTGTCATTCATCAAACCATGGTTGATGCTACTTCAGTGCATAATAACCTAGAAACTGAAGTTGAACTATTTCATTTAACTGGGGCAGTCTTCAAATGTAATTTTACACAACACTTCAAATTGGAGCTGGGATAGCTCAGTCAGTATAGTGGTGGACTGTGGGGGCTGTGTTCTGTTCCTCTCAGGGAAAACTTTTCTCCACAACATCCAAACCAGCTCTCATGTCCACTCAGCCTTCTATCCTGAGGCAATTCACCTGAGGCAAGTTCAAACTGGGGAGAAATAAAGCACGGTGTCCCCCAGGGTTCAATATTTGGACCATTGCTTTTCTTGCTTTATGTGAATGACTTACCAAAGATAGGTAATAATAAGGCTGAAATGGTTCTTTATGCGGATGATACTAGTATAATTGTGAAGAGTCTCAACCTAACAGATTTTACTAATTGTGCTAACAAA